ATAATATTATTAATATATGTTATTAAAATATTATATAATATTATAATAAATACATTATACTATAATTACTATTATATAATATTATTTATATATGTTATTAAAATATCTATAATTACTATTATATAATATTATTAATATATGTTATTAAATTATATTATTAAAATATTAATATATGTTATATTTTATATATCATATCATATATTTATAATATAATTAGCATGTATTAGTTAAGTAATACAAAAATATTTTAAAATTATGCCAATTGCCTTCTACTATAATTACTATTATATAATATTATTAATATATGTTATTAAATTATATTATTAAAATATTAATATATGTTATATTTTATATATCATATCATATATTTATTATTAAAATATTATATAATATTATAATAAATATATTATATTATAGTTACTATTATATAATATTATTAATATATGTTATTAATATATGTTATTAAATTATATTATTAAAATATTAATATATGTTATATTTTATATATCATATCATATATTTATAATATAATTAGCATGTATTAGTTAAGTAATACAAAAATATTTTAAAATTATGCCAATTGCCTTCAAAGTGGAACAACATTGTTCCAATATGGAGGATGTGGTAAATTTAGGGTAATTATGAGGAAGGGATGGAGGAGATCTTTATATAGTTGGTGTAATTTAGGGGAAAGTGGAGTATTTGTCCCCCAATTACCCCAACAAACCAATTTATATAGTTGGTGTAATTTAGGGGAAAGTGGAGTATTTGTCCCCCAATTACCCCAACAAACCAATAACACCACAAAGTTGACTCCTTTAGGGGAAAGTGGAGTATTTGTCCCCCAATTACCCCAACAAACCAATAACACCACAAAGTTGACTCCGGTTCCAATTACCCCAATGAATAGCACCAAACATTGTTGTTCCAAAAATTACCCCATTATCCCAACAATTACCCCAATGAATAAACCCCCCTAAGTGTTGAGGGGAGGTGGGTGTTTCGCTGAGGTGGAGGCCTGTTTACTAGCACATTTCCTACTGTCAAATTGTGACCCAAACTCATGAACTGTCAAGCCCAAACTCCATTTATCGTAGCGGACTCTGTTGTCAGTTGTGGGAAATGGTTTCCCTGGGCTTTGTGCGAACCAAACAGGCCCCTGAAAGGGAGAAGAAAACAGAACCCACAAGTCACTCATGGCCCAGTACAAATGTTCCAATTTCATAGCGCACCATGATGGAAATAAGATGGCCGGACCAATCAAGCCAGTCCAGTAATCTACGTCATCTTCCTAAGAGCCCACAATATAATAGTGTCCGTCAAGCTGGAAACCCTATCGGCAGAGGGTTAGCTTCCTTCGTCTCTCGTTCCTAGAGGAACCATAACCCCTAATCACCAACAGCAGACATGGGACGTATGCACTCAAGAGGGTACAATCTCTCTCCTCTCTTCGAACCCTAACCCTAATTTCTTTTATTTGATCGATTTTAACGGTTTTGCTTGTGATTTCTTTGCTCGCAGTAAGGGTATTTCTTCTTCGGCTCTGCCGTACAAGCGGACCCCACCGAGCTGGCTCAAGATCTCCTCTCAAGATGTGAGCAAAACCTTGCCATTGTTTCAAAGTTATAATCTTTTTTATAATGATGCTTGATTGATGTGATCTTTGTCTTAGGTTGAAGAGAACATCTGCAAGTTTGCAAAGAAGGGGCTGACTCCGTCGCAGATCGGCGTCATCCTTCGTGATTCCCTGAAGAGTGTTACTGGAAGCAAGATCCTTCGCATTCTCAAGGGTCATGGTACATTTCTGAATCAAAACCCCATTTTTTATTAGAAATGTTATAATTTTGTGTTAGAGATTTAACAGAATTGAGCCCTATAGCTGTAAGTAGGAATTTAATTTTCTATAAACCACATCAAGCCATTGATAAAAAGTTAATGTGGGTCTACATAAATCCTTACAAGCACTAAAGAAAGCCTAATATCACTGTTGGACTTGGAGGAATTCACCCCTAAAATCTAGTTGTTTTAAATAAGCAATTTAGATCTTCATATGCCCATGTCCAACTAATTTTACATACTCAATATGTCGCTAAATGAATCCCGACGGAATTGGGTGTGACTTATTTGTTGTAGGGCTTGCACCGGAAATTCCTGAGGACTTGTATCACTTGATTAAGAAGGCGGTGGCCATCAGGAAGCACTTGGAGAGGAACAGGAAGGACAAGGACTCCAAGTTCCGGTTAATTCTGGTTGAGAGCAGGATTCATCGTCTTGCCCGCTACTACAAGAGGACCAAGAAGCTCCCTCCTGTCTGGAAATAGTAAGTACATTATTGCTCTCTTATACCTCATCTTGACAACTGTCTGAATTGATTGTAATAATTTAACTTTATTTATGTTTAAGTTCACATGAATCTTAAATTTCGTGTTAGTTAGTTTCTCAATAGGAAGCCACATCAAGTGAGTTGTTGAAGCTTGAAGAATTTTATCTTTTGTTAAAATAGTTGATTTTTTCTGCTATATGATATGACTTTAGATGCATGGTCTTACAAATAATTTGTTTAAGCTCATTGGTATGAAGATATTTGGTTATTGGAACAAAAATAAGCAAGCATAAATAAATATAGTCGATTAGTCCGTTTTAACTTGTGAAACATAAAAATGATTATAATTAATGACAAAACACTTCTAGATGGGTTTAAATGAGGTAACCCCTTGAAATAAGGTGTTCATTAATTCATCAATTCTTTTCTTTAACTGGGTTAAGAAATTGATCTGTGTTTTCATAAAGAAAGCGATGATAATCCTCTTTCTAAACACAAATCGCAAGCATTAGTATTATATTAATAGTGGGTTTTCGTATCTAATCCAATCCAGATTTCTATAATTGTAAGGGGTTAAGTAGTTTGAACCTTTTTCTTAATTCCTCAAACCTTTACCAAATAGGACCTACATTAAATGTTTGCTCAACAATAGCTAGTTGTTTTGGCATGTTATACTTTTAAATGGCTTGAGTTTCTCTTGTGTCAAAACCCTATGGATCACATTAGTGGTTTCGATATCCTTGTTCATTTACAATGATGAGAACTTGAGGTGATTATCATGTTCTTAATTTTGTTAATGTATGTATAGATGTAATTCATAATGAAAGGGCTAAGGTTCAAACATTTAACATTTCCACTTAGTTTTCTAGTGAGAGTTAGTATTCATCATCTTGTTGTTGCTCATACTCATCTTTTATAATTGCCAACTGAAACAAACATAATGGAAGGCGGTTGAACCTTTTACATGTGAGGAGCTATTTGAATGGACGACATAGATAATAGTATAATTAAAAAGAGTTGTATTGAGGAGTACGTACAGCGTTGACAGTGGCTATAAGACTATTAATTAACACTCTTTAACTGTGTACTCAAAATTATACTAAGCCAGTGGTTTTATTATTATTATTTGGAAATCACTTTTCAATTCTATTATGGCATAAGTAGATCTTATGTCCGCCATTCTTTTGACTAATGAATCTAGTGGCAAAGTGTTTATGTTTGTCTAGGGCTTGCAACAAAAGGATCAAGCTCATTCAAGGAGTCGTAGAATTAAACAGCTTGGAGCAATAATAATTGAAGAAATAATAATAAATAAGAATCATAACAAAACGTCTAAATTTATGTGATAAATAATTGGCAAGGTTACAGAAAGCACTAGTAAGCCTAGCTGTTGAATCTGGCACCTAGAGCCTAGGCGTTTTCTTTTTTTTCTTAATTACAATCAATGTTATATATAACAATAGGCACAGCTAGGTGCCAAACTGGGGCCTAGCACCTTTGTAGAGCTAGGTGCCAAACTGGGGCCTAGCACCTATGTGGGGCCTAGGAGGATTTCTTTTTTCTTTTTTTTTGAGTTGGTGGTGAAGGAGCTTTTGCTGGTAAGCCTAAGTGTCGAATCTGACGCCTAGAGCCAAGGCGTTTTTTTTTTAATAATTACAATTACAATAAATGTATATACAACAATAGGCACAGTTAGGTGCCAAACTGGAGCCTAGCACCGATGTGGGGCTTAGGAGGTAATTCTTTTTTTTTTGTTTTGGTGGAGGAGCTTTTCCTGAAGGTCGGAGGAGTTGGATGAGGTGTTCGTTGTTGATGGAGGAGTTCGGAGGAGGTTAGAGGGTGAGAAGGTAGCAATGGAGGAAATTACGACCTAACCTAAGGTGGTGTAGTCCGCGTAAATGGTCCATGCTCCCCTAAGCGCTCCTAAGGCGTAGGTAGATGGCCTAGGTACTGCTTAGGTCTTGGCAGGCTAGGTGTCCGCTTTTTAAAACATTGATAATTGTAAATTGTTAATAAAAAGTTAACTTGTGACTCCAGGCTGTTTCAGTGGATATACACCTGATTTTAACAAATCAAGTTACCTGTAAGAACATATGAGGTATCTATCATATGGATTTGTGTGTTTGCATATTAAACTCTTAGAGATGTGCATGATCTTAATTTGCATTGGCATGGTTTTAGATGATTCAAAATGGTACTATGTTTGGTCATAGCCTTGAACTGCAATGGTTGATGGTATCTAATTCCGCTGACATGGTTGCCCACTAATTCCTTTTTTTATTCCTTTTTTGTTGGAATATTTCCACAACTAATGATATAAAAAAAACTATGGAGAAATGTAGGCAGAAACAAGTACAAATTTTACGGCAAAATAGAACAGCGAAAGGCTGCAGCATTGATACTTTTTTATAAGCTATTTTGTGTCAAAACCTGTTTTGAGATATCCGATGATCATGCATGTTAGGTGAATTTTCAATATTTTGCCTTGTGTCAGTTTGTTGTATCCATGTCGGCTATTTGTTTTAGTGAGGCGAAAGTAAAAGTAATAATTGGCTATTTGATTGTAAGGCTGGTGAAGTAGTTTATATTGCAGCTTATACTGTAGATACGAGAACTTACCGTTATATCCATGTGAGTTATCTTAAATGACTAATCCTAAATTTGTGTCAATAGTAAATAGTGAGGAAATGGAATGTGCAGACTGCAGACTACTTCTTGATGCTGCAAAGTTCATAATACATTCAGTTGAAATACCTCTTTTACCCTTTTTTGTGTGGAATCTCCAAGACGGCCATTAGCATCTGATGTTTCATACTTCGTTAACATGTGTTTTATCGAGTTTATAAACTTGCAGTATGTTATGCTGCATGCGTGTCAAGTCAGTTAGTCCGAACAGGACCAAACTTAAGCTGTCCGCATTGGTTTGCAAAGCAAAAAATCCAAAGTAAAACTGAGACAATTGAAAAGTAGAAAAGCAAATGACAACTTCAATGTTGTGCTTTGTCACATACACGAGCAAATAGGATGCTGGCATTTCTATTTCATTACTTGTATTTCCATTTTATTTCCTGCACATTCCGGGGTAACACAATTGTTTGCTCTTTTGCAGCGAGTCTACCACCGCAAGCACTCTTGTGGCCTAGAGTTTTCTTTGCACGACTTCAGGCCGATTGTGCCAATTAAAATGCTTTGTGAAGTTTGGTTTGATGGGGAGTAGAGAACCTGATGAGCTGTTATCCTCTTTTTTAGTTCTGTGGACCTTAAAACAGTTTTGATGTTTAGTCTAAATCTCATTTGGTTACCTTCCATTTTCTTAGCTTTGAGTTTCATGTCTGGTCGGATTTGAATTATTTTACAAGTTTATCTTGTCCTTTGAATGCATGGAAGTCTATATATTTGGGTTAAATTCTGTTTTGCTTGCTGATCAGAGGGTAAATGCACATGACTTGTTTATTACTCGCTGAGATGAGAGGAGACGAGGACCATTTAATTAAATTCATAGATGGGAGAGGTTATATGTAATTTTTAATTGATTTAGTTACGGTATCTAGTCCTACTAATTTTCGCTTAGGAAAGGTTTCAATTTGTCAAGAATGTCATCATCTCTCGTTTGTAAATATACTTTAAAGTAACAGGTCGTAGGGTTTTGAAAGTCGGCTCTCTCTCGTAGCTGCCCGCTTTAGGCTTTTGAAAATCCTAGTTTTCAGTCGGCTCTCTTTCTTGTAGCTACCCCCCCTAAGGGTTTTGAAAACCCTATATCTCAGTTAACGCTTCTCTCCCCCTCCCTCGTGATGGATCTCCATCGACACGATCTTCTCTTTTTATTTTTTTTCTGGCTGGTTTTTACAATTTTTGTGAGGCACGACCCTTCCTGTCTCACTCCGATAGTTTTGCGGCGAATTATTTGGTGAGATTCGAGTCTCGTCCCTAACCCTCACGGCAGTCTTCGGGGTTTCCCACATCTCGGCCTCCGAGGTAGCTGTCTCTCGGCTCACACGAACGGCATCTCCGTTTCATATTTAATTAATGGCATCGTCGTTTCATATTTAATTAACGGCATCACCATTTCATATTTAATTAACGGCATCGCCGTTTCATATTCAATTAACGCCATCGTCGTTTCAGAGGCGCCTTTTAGTCTCCAATTAACGGCATCGCCGTTTAAACCGTCTCTCAGACTCAAATTAACGGCATCGCCGTTTTAAGACCGTCTATCGGCCTCATATTAACGACATCACCGTTTCAAGCAGCCTCTCGGCTCCAAATCAATTTGGAACATGACGAGAATTGATGATGATGGGCTGACCGAGCTTTGTGCCAAATGCAGCTTAGACGACGAAGATGGCCCTGTTTTTCTGTCAACCAAGGACCGGACAGATTCGCCTTCCTTTAACAAATGTCTCTTGGGGAAGGTTTTTGATAGGAAGATTGCTAATATATATGGTCTTGAGCGTGTCTTTAGGAAGGTATGGATTGTAGATGCCCCCTTCCAGGTGGAACATTACATTGGAAGGAATAATTTCCTTTTCAGATTTTGTTCCGATGCAAATAGGGACAAAGTGCTTGATGGTGGGCCATGATGCTTTGAAAGGAACTTGCTCAATTTGATTGTTCCTCGTGGGGTCGGTGCCCCAACTTCTTTGGATTTCTCTTCAACTTTATTTTGGGTAAACGTTAAGAATGTACCACTGGCTGCGATAAACGAAAGGTGCACCAGAGACTATAGCTCGCTTATAGGAGAACTTAAAGGGATTGATTTGCGGGATAACAAGATGCAGCTGAGAATTCTCGTGGATATTACTAAGCCTCTAAAAAGAGGCATACATGTTTGCTTTGAAATGACCGGGGAGATTGAGAAGCTCTTCCTCACCTATGAGAGACTTTCTGACTTTTGCTTTTCATGTGGCATTATTGGCCACAAAGCTGCTGAGTGTGATAAACGAAGTGTACAAGTCAATGATATTTTTATCACATCCAAAAGCAGATATGGTTCTTGGCTCAGAGAACCCCCTCCATCTTTCAAGGTCTTTGAGACTCGGTCTTCTGGAGCAACTGAAGCATATCGTGAGGGGCAGAAACAACCATCATCTCGGGTGGTCTCAGATGATACTCAGGATGATGATTCACGTGGTAGTGCTCCACTATAGATCATTCCAGTCACGGTGAGGTGTGAAACCCCTCCTGTACCCCTGCCCATGGATACCGGTGTTGGCTCTGATTTGCATGACGTTACAGTTTTCACATCCACCTCTGGAAAGCGGGCTATATCGACCTAGAAGAGGCATGCTAGAGGGTCTAGGTAGCAGTGCTCTAAATAGAAAGAGAAAGGAGGCAAACACAAGAAATATTCTCTGAAGGATCCTCCGGATGTACATGAGAAGAGGGCACGATTAGCGATTTTCAGTCCAGATTCTACTCTTGTTGAGGCGCACCCTGGTGGCCATGGGCACCAGGAGCCATGAGTTGCTTTTTTGGAACGTTCAGGGACTGGGGAACCCTGAAACGTTGACTGCTTTCCGCAGATTATGCGGACTCATTCCCCAAGTATAGTCTTTCTTTCGGAGACTAGACTTTCTGGTAGGTGGGCACAAATAATGAGATCTCAGTTGGGTTTCTAGAATTGCTTTGTGGTGAATAGTAGAGGCAGAAGTGGTTGACTCATGTTACTATGGGGCGATGAAATGGATGTGACTATTCGTTCTTTTTCTCTGGAGCACATTGACGCATTAGTTGTTGACTCAGCGAGAAGGAACTGACGATTCACCGGGTTTTATGGCCATTCTCAGAAACACTTACGGTACCAGTCCTGGGATCTGTTGAGACGGTTGAGGGGTCTTTCCTCTGAGCCATGATTATGTGGATGTGACTTTAATGCCATCACGAGCCCAGGGGAGAAGCTGGGTGGTAGACAGGTGCATGTTTCGAGAATGCTAGATTTCCAGAATTTCTGCTGCATTGTGAGCTACTTGATCTGGGGTATTACGGGCACACCTTCACTTGGAACAATTGTCAGACTGGTACATCTTATATCCATGAGCGCTTGGACAGGATGATAGCTGACGTGACATATTTCCCACTGCTGAGGTACACTTGTTGGTTGAAAATTTGTAGTAAAAGAAATGAAAGAAAAATTTGATTTAAATTCTCTCGATCTCAATTACAATTGGATTTCGATTACAAAAGAGAGGAGAATGATTTGGATTCTCCCCTTTGTTTAATACTGGGTTCTTCTCGGTAGCGATGGAGTGCCTCCTTCGAATGTTTGCGACGAATTTGCTCTCCGTTGACGATCCGACCGTTTGTATCTCGTGGGAACGATGAACTTTCGTGGTAAGTTTGATGGTTAACTCTTCACGAGTTTAAGAACTCAGAACGAGTTAGAACTCTGTGAAAAGAGTTGTTAAAACCGAGTAATCGGTTAATAAGCCAAAATGGATTTGTTTGTTGCTGAAGAATCTGATCTCCTAACTACCAAGAACTCTATTGTACTGATTTCGTAGATGATTTGATCTTCGAAATCTAGCCGAAATCTCCCTAAAATCCGAACCTCCTTTCTCTGTTGACTTTGTTGAGGTTTTATAGAAGGATAAGGTGTTGTAACTGTCCCCTTAATCCGCTCCTGAGTGGGCGTGATTTCCTCAGATCGTGGAAAAATAGTTCTGAAACCGTTCGACTCATGTTTGAATGAGTCAAACGCCCAATTTGGCGTTCGGGACCCTAACTCTGCGTCTTAGAATTAAGACGCGGAGTTGGGTGTTGACCGAACATCAAAAACGCGAGGGCCGATCGCGTTTCGCTTGTTGCAGCTTGGAAACGCGGGAGTCGCCTGCGTTTCAAGAATTAGAACGCGAAGATGAATTCCGCGTTTAGAAGGGGTTAGTTGACTTGTAACCTCTTCTGTAGAGCGTTGCAAGGACCATTGTTCAGTAATCCTCGCTTTAGCTGTTGTGGGGTGTGAAAGTCGTCAGATTGTAACTCTCACTATTGATTGTGAAGACCACCGAATAGAGTTTTTATCAGTTGTCGGAAATATCGTTGAATTGTAACTCTTCTCGATCTATGTGAAAAGTCCTCCATTTGCAGCTTTCATTTGTCGGCATGAAAGTCATCTGATTGTAACTTTCATCATTGAAGCTTGATGGGGATCAACTATCTATTGTGATTTTTAAACAACATACAGAATCCCCTCCAAAGTTTTTGAAAGTTCGCGGTTGACTGGGACGAATTTTCAGAATACTTTGGATCTTAAAATTTAGTTTATTGATTGTTCACTCCGTCTGATATCATGAACCTGGTTGTCGGAATGTTGAAATTCTGTTTCCTCAAACCAAACAATGTAACTTTTGAGTCTTGATGACAATGAACTTAGTCAAACAAGCTAAAGCCTAAGTCATTGCTGATGACCCAGACAAGAGCGATGATGACAACGATTTTGTCTGGGTCTTTGAGATACTCTACTCAATCTGCGATGAGGTGTATTCATCGGATTTCGTCTGGATCCTTTAGATACTCCACTCGATCTGCGATGCGGTGTATTCATCGGATTTCGTCTGGAGAATTCTTGTAGGCATTGATGCACACTCTACATGCAGCTTTTAGCTTTGTTGTGATGTTAAGCCATATAGAAGAATGAGTTGCTCATCGGATCATGTCTTCATTAATCTTGGTAGGAATGTTAAGCCATCTAGAAGAATGAGTTGCGCATCGGATCGTGTCTTCATTTATCTTGGTGGGAATGTTAAGCCACTTAGAAGAATGAATTGTGCGCAGCTCCTGGTTTTATTAATCTTAGTGGGAATGTTTAGCCACTTAGAAGAATGAGTTGTGTGCGGCTCCTGTCTTCATTAATCTTAGTGAAAATATTTAGTCACTTAGAAGAATGAGTTGTGCGCCGGATTGAGCTTGACGGTTTTAGCATTGTTGATTGTAACCTGTTGAGTCTTGATGACAATGAACTTAGTCAAACAAGCTAAAGCCTAAGTCATTGCTGATGACCCAGACAAGAGCGATGATGACAACGATTTTGTCTGGGTCTTTGAGATACTCTACTCAATCTGCGATGAGGTGTATTCATCGGATTTCGTCTGGATCCTTTAGATACTCCACTCGATCTACGATGAGGTGTATTCATCGGATTTCGCCTGGATCCTTTAAATACTCCACTCGATCTGTGATGAGGTGTATTCATCGGATTTCGTCTGGATCCTTCAGATACTCCACTCGATCTGCGATGCGGTGTATTCATCGGATTTCGTCTGGAGAATTCTTGTAGGCATTGATGCACACTCTACATGCAGCTTTTAGCTTTGTTGTGATGTTAAGCCATATAGAAGAATGAGTTGCTCATCGGATCATGTCTTCATTAATCTTGGTAGGAATGTTAAGCCATCTAGAAGAATGAGTTGCGCA